TCAGCACCCTTGACAGTGAACAGCGCATCAACTTTTTCACCCTGCATGAGCCAGACCTTACCACGATATCCCTGTGCACCCGGCTGATACCCAGCCGACCATTTGTTATTCGCAATGGCCGTCTCGTGCACCTTGGACCAGAGGATGCCGAGCAGGCGGTTCACACGGCGAATCTCCAAGGGCACGTCCATCCGCACCTTGAGGTCCACCGCCTGGTTAGCCTTGGGGTCGTGCAACTGTACGCCAAGGGCTTTAACTCGCTGCACAAACTCTTTGGCCTGCTCATTAGTCTCGAGCGCAATGCTGCACGCTGTCGTGAAGTTGTGGATCTTTGGCTTGGCAACTGTCGTACCTTGGGCGCGTCGTGCAAGGAACTCATCTGCATGTTTTTGAAGCACGGTCGCAAGCAACGCACGCGGGAACCCCGCGATCCAGACACGCAGCGGGTTGCTGTCTGAAGAAGGCGGCGAGCGCGAAAGCCCCCTGCTGGTAGAACTGGCCGAAAAAGAACTCGCAGCAACGACGTGGCTAGGGAGGCCCATCTCTTGGAGACCAGCGACCATCGCATCGCGCAGCAAGCTGGGGAAGGCAGCTGCCACGTCGTAAAAGATGAAGCCACACTGGGCGGCACGCCGCTGCAAGTGCCAATGTAGCGCACGAAACTCAAGCTCAAGCACATTCTCGACCAAGTTCCTCCCACGAATGAAACCTCGTTGTTCTCGAATGCAGACCCTCTGACAGAGATGCCCAAGGGGTCGATTGAGCGCACGCGCGATTATCTTGCTGTCAGTGTTGGACATGGCGAAGGGGCGCGCAACACCAGGCGCTCCCGCGACCAATTGCGAGTCGTTCTCCTCCGAGCCCTTCGGTAAAAAGACTTGCACGCCAAAATTCAAGCGATGAGGGCAGTTTCCAGAGTCCAGGATCTGACGATCGAGGCGGAACAGCGCGCGCCTGCCCACCACCCCAGAACGTGCACAACCACTGTGCGGGATCCCATCTGGCCCTGGGGCGCTGTCATGAGTCTTCTCGAGGATCTTCTCATCGAACTCGCCCTCCCCCACCTCCCACATTGCCCGCGCAGGTGCAGACTGAACGTGGCAAAGCAATTCGCGGAGAGGTGCAAGCCCCGCAGGGACATCGGAATGAACGCGGCCCCAGTGCGAAGCAAGTCGCGGGGCCCCCGCACTCAGGCACAGGACGGGTTGCCCTAGCGGATCAGCGACTGCTTGGAGGGAGATTCTGGCCGCAATGGCGTTCCACGCGCTGCGGTATACATAAAGTTGGTTCGTCTTCGTCGTCTTTTGCACGTTCGTCAGACGGTCGTCATTGTGAAGGTCTTGGGTCTGCTCATCTATCATCTGCCGCTGGGGCGAGGCGGGGGGGGCGTGGAAGGCGAGGAAGTTAGTGAACGTCCCGTCGTCAGCGTTTAAGAAGAGGGAGAGCTTGGGGTAGGCGCGGGGAGCACGCCGCAAGATGGACAGGGCCTGGCTCGTCACGGCGCGCATGGCAGCGAGCGACCAGGCATGGAACTCGGGGGGCGTCGACGCCCCGCGCTCCTCAAGCTCGGCCTTGACCCTCCTGGCACTTAGTTGCATCGCCGCCTTGATTTCCTCTACTCGTGTCATAGGGTCTCGCGAGAGCTCCCAAGCCCCGTCCAGGACGGCCTCCAGGGTCACAGGAAAGCTCGGATGACGAACAACCCAACGCTCGAGACGAAAACTCCCCATCGTACTAACTTTCGGAGAAAGGGAAACGTAGACCGGGACATGGTCGGAAAAAGGTGCGAACGTTGGCAGCGCAACCAAGTGCCCCAGAGCTCGGCGCCAGATCAAGAACCACCGCAGGTGGTAGCGTAAGATAAAGCCTGTCAAGTCTCGCCAAGGACACCGCTTCGGAAACTCCGTTGCAATTTCGTTCAACACGATGAACGAATGCAGCCTGCTCAATCTCCAGGGCAAACGGAAACACCGAGTGGGAGAACTTGGCAAGACTATGTGAGGCAGTGACCACGCGCCCATCAGCGTGGACGCTGCCGTCTCCGAGAGCATAGAAATTGAAATCACCTCCACTGATAGTGATGCACTGCGCACGCGGGCAGAGGTGCGAACGAATATCCCGAAACTGCTGCTTGCGATCGCAAAGTCGCAGGCCAGGGTCGCTGTGGGGGTTGATAATTTGAAGTGCCGATTTCTCATCATGCAGAAGAACCGATTGAATCCGTCCCTGAACGATCACGCGGTGCGAGGGGTTTCCGAACCTGGCCCGGAGACGAGGATTGACGAGGATGATGAACCCCCCCGCATGAGGATTAGGAAGAAACGTCGTATAACCTTCAAGTCGAAAGACTTCACGTTGTAACACCCGAAAAGACTCAAACGTACCACGCACCTCCTGGAGGCACACCACATCATGATCCCGACAAAGCTGCAACACCTGCTTGATTTTCTGCCGATGAGACCCCTGCGGCGAGTAGATCGCACCGAAGAGCGACCGAACATCCCAGGACACCACCGAGAACTTGTCTGAGGGCACGAACGGCCTGCAAGTCCGCGGTAGCTCTGGGAAAGGATCAACCGAACTGCTAGAACTGGAGGTCACGCTCCAAGACGACGTGGACGACGAAGAGGTAGGAGTAGGCGAGGGAAAAGTTGCACAGGAATCTTGCCGCTGCCGCTCAGAAAATTGAATTCTCACTGATGCCATCTCGCTGGCCTGGCTCGAATGAGCATCTGGATCGCCAACGCAAGCCGCAGCCGCAGCACCACCCAAAGAAGGCACTGCACCCACACTGCATGCTTCACGTCGCGGCGAAACAGCATTCCCCCAGGTTACATTGTCACCGGCGGGGTCATGCACACGGCCGCCGGGCCAAAACTGGGATGGCTGAGGCGGCCCCTAGCAAAGGAGCGCATCGATGACGTCCTTGACCATCTGCCCGGTGAAGCCAAGGCTCATCAACTTGGGTATGTTCGGCTGGATGTCCGTCTGCATCGCTTCAGCACCCTTGACAGTGAACAGCGCATCAACTTTTTCACCCTGCATGAGCCAGAGCTTACCACGATATCCCTGTGCACCCAACTGATACCCAGCCGACCATTTGTTATTCGCAATGGCCGTCTCGTGCACCTTGGACCAGAGGATGCCGAGCAGGCGGTTCACACGGCGAATCTCCAAGGGCACGTCCATCCGCACCTTGAGGTCCACCGCCTGGTTAGCCTTGGGGTCGTGCAACTGTACACCAAGGGCTTTAACTCGTTGCACAAACTCTTTGGCCTGCTCATTAGTCTCGAGCGCAATGCTGTACGCTGTCGTGAAGTTGTGAATCTTTGGCTTGGCAACTGTCGTACCTTGGGCGTGTCGTGCAAGGAACTCATCTGCATGTTTTTGAAGCACGGTCGCAAGCAACGCACGCGGGAACCCCGCGATCCAGACACGCAGCGGGTTGCTGTCTGAAGAAGGCGGCGAGCGCGAAAGCCCCCTGCTGGTATAACTGGCCGAAGAAGAACTCGCAGCAACGACAAGGAGGCGGCAGACCGCCGCACAGCCGCCTCGAATTTCTTGAGCTTGTCGTCGTACTTCTGCGCCATGCTCTGGAGCTTATCGTCCATGTTGGCCGTCGCAAGCTTCTGTACTACGTCGTATGAGGCCTTGGTGTCCTGCTCGAGCTTCGACATTCGATTGTCTAAGACCGCAATGTTGTCGGCCTGCGACTGGATCTGCGCCTTCATGCCTTGGAGGTCTGTGCGAAGATCTTCGCGGGTGACCATGTCACGCCGGATTGAATTGACCGCATTCAAGAGCTGCACGAGCGGGTCTGTGGGGGCGCCGTTGCCCACGCCCTGCTGCTCCATGAGCCGAGGCATCTTGCCACGCTGCTCATCTTCATCGTCAGGCGTCATCATCGCCATATCAACAGGCACGTCGGAGGCAGCGGCCATCGCGAGATAGGACGAACAGGCGGGGGCCCAACTCCCGCAGTGAAGGCACAGAAGGATAGCTAGACACAGAGAGACTGATTTGGAGAGTGGCCTCAAAGCAGAACCTCCCTCGCGCTCAGATGACGCCCCGAGAGACTCGCGGTCGTCGGGATGGTCCATTGCCTTGAGCCAAAATGGCTACGGAAAGAGGGAGGAGGAGGAGGTGCAGCGTATTCAAAACGAGGACCCGACTCACAGGAGGGTTGGGACCAAATCGATAAACTGACTCACCGCACGGCGTGGTCACCGCACCGTTTGTTTGGACGACCGAAGAGTGTACGGAAGAAATGCGCAAGATCCCAACAACACATGTTGTCCAAAAGCGACAGCGGCCGATGCTGGGCAGGCGGCCTTCTGCCTCAAACGGACAACCTCCGCACCGGCGCGGACAGCGAGTCCTGCTCAAGAGGAACACGGGGCTGCTGCTGCAAGGGCGCCAAACTTCGCCCCTCGCGCTGCGCGAGGCGAGAAAAACTTCGCGCTCTCGCGCCGCCACCCCCATGGGGAGACGAGGAAGATGATGAAGGGGCCCCAAATAAAAGGATTCCCCATATTTCCCCATATTTTCTGGGTTTTTGTCTTCCCCCCCACTCCCCATATTTTCCCATATTTTCTGGGGAATCGACGATTAATTGAATTATGTGTCTGTGTGTGTTTTGTCCCTCCTGAGATGAGGAGGATGAGGAGGAATCGGAGCTGAACCGCGAAGCGCGGATCACTTCGGGCCCTCGAAGGCGCCCTTGTGCTGGGCACCGTACCCAGACCCCCGACATCATGATTCTGTTCAGTACGTCAACCCCCCGAGGTCTCGACCCATTCCCCGGGACCCGTTTTTCGTCCCGTGCCGTTTTTTGACGGAGGCCCGGCAAGGGCCCCCGATGCCGAGAATGGCGAAAAGACTCCCATCATGTTTTTGTTCATCACTCGAGGGGGTCTGGGACAGGAGCTGCTGCTGGGCACCGCACCCACTCTTTCCGTACCCCTTTCGATCGTGCCGACCTGCTTTTTGGGGGGTCCCGCCTCCTGCTGCTGGCAGTCGCCGCAGGCACTCGGACGCCACCCGGGGTGCTGGGAGGCCGCTGGCCGCGCCGGCGCGGCCCCCTGCGCCGCGCCCGCCTCGAAGCGACCCTGCTGCGGGGAGGCCACTCCGAGCCGCAGCCGGTGCCCCTCGATCCCAGACCCCCTTGGGCCACGAAAAAGAATCGCGACGGGAGGCTTTTCGCCGTGTTCACCTCTGGGGGTCCTTGCCGGACCCCGGGGCCGTCCAAAAATGACTCGGGATGGAAAACCGGTCCCCGGGAAGGGGTCGAGACCTCCGGGGGTCAACGTTGCGGAAGAACATGACATGGGTGCTCTGGGATGGGGGGCTCCTGTCGGCGACGAGCCCATGGGGGGCAATGAGGCGGGGCAGGCCGGCCAGGCCGGAAGGCCTTCTCAGAAGGCGGCGGTGCTTCTCAGAAGCCCTCGCGCCCGCTGAGAGGCGGAGTGTGGCTTCGGAGGGTGCTTACGGTGAAAACGTAGAGTAAGGACGGGTGATAATGACACAAGACCCTTGGAGGCCGAAGTTGGAATCCTTTGGGCGGCGGGCGACCAACCCCCCCGAGGGCACCCTGAAGCGACAAAGGACGGGCCGCAGAGTCAAGGACACAAGGGTACCCTATAAATGATGTTGCTCCTGTCGTACTTAAGGACCACATCCCAAAAATAATTTCGAGCACCCGGAAAAGTGTCGAAAGAGTGTCGAAACAGTGTCGGACGAGTGTATCCCAGGGCCCGACACTTGAAAAACCTCGAGTTTGGGTACTTGTTTGGTGCTCGAAATTCCTTCGGGTGATCAAGGCTAAAGTCGGTTGGAACATCATAACCTACAGAAGGCGCGCGTCCTTACCATGGGCGTTGACTGTACGAGGATTCTGAGGAGGCACGAGGGCTCCTGAGAAGCCCCTCCGCCTTCTGAAAAGGCCTGTCGCCTGCCCCCCCTCACTTCCCCCCTGGGCTCGCCGCCGACCCTGGATGGGGTCTGAGCAACATGGGGTCGGAGGATCGCGCCGCATCGCCGATGCATCGGCGATGACTCGGCGACGCGTCGGCGATGCGTCGACGATGCCGGCGTGGATAAGATCGGGCTCGAATCGCTGATGCATCGGCGATGCATCGCGATCCTCCGACCCCAGACCCCCAACGTCAGGATTTTGTCATAACGTCGACCCCCGAGGTCTCGGCCCATTCCCCGGTACTGGTTCTTCGTGCTGAGTCGTTGTTTGACGGTCCTGAGGCTCGGCAAGGGCCCTGAGAGACCGAAAATAGTGAAAACCATCGAAGGGGCCGGGGCCGAAGGGGTCGCTATTTCTTCACGGCTCGAAGGGGCCGGGGCCCCGCCTGCGCACATCTCATCTGAGAGGCCCTGCATGGAGGTGTGCCGCTGCTCCCGAGGACCTGTCCCGAAGGGGGGTCACGTCCTGGCCGGGACCTCGGGACGAGCCCGGCCGCGGCGACGGGGGAACCACCAGCGGTATCGGGGTCCACGGCCGGACCCGGGACAGAAAGAATATCCTTCAAGAACACGAGGCGACCGCCGGTCAAACTGAAGAATATTCGAGGGTGCCCGTCGGTCGGAAGAAGTGGCTAGCAACATGAAGTAGGAAGGCGTTGGAAGTGGATTGGGCTTCCTCCTGCACCCTGAAGAGGGGGGAAAAAGGAAACCGCTCGACTCTTGAAGTATGGAAGCGGCTAAAGTGTGTTGGGATCTGGGAATGCAGAAATACCTACTTTCAACGACAGGCATGTACCATCCTCCAGGATGCACAAGAACATCCAGCAAACACGAAGAACAGTAGGATACCCTCCTCGAACCGGCCTCGATCTGATACCTCGGTCCGACCGTACCTCCATGCCCCCGAGACGTCTTGACCCCTCGGTAGTAGTTGGTTGGTCGGGGCTGGCGACACTTGTGAGGGAAATCCTGGAGGTCTCGCGCGGCCACTGGAGACCCAACTTGCGTCGGATCCACGTCGGGCTCACGTTGGATTGCGTCAGATTTACGTCGGATTCACGTCCGAATTGCGTCGGGCTTAGGTCGGAACATCGTCGCGCGAGCGTCGTCACATATCTGACGGGGAGGACGTGCGGACTAGATAATACAACTATTGCGCGCGGCGAGAACCAGGATTTTCCTTCCTCATAACGAAGCATATGTACAGAACAGTGTTTTACTCGGGCTCGCTGAGCAAGCAAGGATACAGCCAAGGCGGAAGCTTGGCCGAGCAGAAAAGTATCGCCGCCTGGGAGTGCGTGTTGCCCATTCCCTTCAGGCCGCCGACGTTGTGTTTTGCGCAAAGTGGATCCCTGCATGGAGGTCGTCTTCTGACGGTCCTGGGGCCCGGCGAGGGCCCCCATGGCCGAAAGGTGAAACAAATCGTCCGTTGAGATGTTGTCACGACACGAGGGGTCTGGATCTTCTCCGGGGGGTCCATCTCCGATGGCCCTGGTGCTGGATGCTGGCCCCCGAGGTCCGAAATCCACAACAAATGGTCGAGAAAGTCAGATCGTCCGAGGTCCGGGTCCCCCATGAGATGCGACTGCGCGAAAGCATGCAGCATCATGACAAATCAGGACCAGAGCCCTGGACCACATCTTTCTGCTCAATTTTTCAAACGGGATCGACCTGTGAGGGTCCGGGGCCCCGAACTTTGCGCGAAAACGCCCGAGGCGAACAACAAATGACACGCCAGGATCGTAGGATGGACGAGAATAAGCTCGAGTGAGGATACAACGAGAATCTCTGAGACACGGCGGTTCTGGAGGATGGCTCGGGCGCTGCGGCCTCCTCAGAGAGTCCCGGAACGCCTTGAGAGCGCTCTGGAAAGCTCTAGAACGGATTTATCCTCGTCGCAGCCCCGCCCGACTGCCTAGAATTAGGTCGGGCATGTCCTCCTACAGGCGGACTTTGGAAGAAAAAGAATCCGAGGAGCATGAAAATCGTTACCAGACTATGTTTTTACGGTTCCTACGTGTTCCTCCCGTGGAGAGGACCTGCTCGCCTGAAGCCTCGAATCCCACGGCCCTTCCCCTCCTGGGAGCCTCCGCTTCTCGCGCGCCTGCGGCCGCGGGCCGCTCGCCGGGCGCCCGCGCGCACGGCGCGGCGGCGAGCCCACCCGAGCGGTGGGCCAGCAGCGCCTCGCGCACCGCCCGCTCGGCCCGCTGGAAGTCCTCGTCGCCCAGGGCCCGCTCCTGGCAGCCGCCCTCGGCGAGGCCCAGCCTCCGCACGCGCGGCGAGCCCATCCCCAGACTTCCAGCTGGAGCAGGGATCGGCCGTCCCGCAGTCCTACAGGCCTGCCGCGACATGTTCTTAGAGCCCCAGCAGGCTCTGAGAACAAAGACAAACTTCCTGGAGCAGAATCCGGATGTACTAGAACAAGACCGTTCCAGCCAGAACTGTTTAAATAACATGTCGTGGAAACCACGACAGTTTATGAGAACATTGCTTGGTAGGCCTATAAGCACGCCAGGACGCCTCGCCACTGCGTGACCAACGCGTTGAACATGAACGAGGCGGATATGTTTCGCAATTCTCGGCCTCTGGGGGCCCTCGCTGGGCCCGGGACGGCCAGAAAACGAGGCGCGGCGGGAAGCCAGCCCGGGGTCCTGGGGAGAAGAGATCCAGGGGCTCCGTGCTGGAGCGGACCAAGACTCTGGAGGTCTGGGGATCCGTGTCCACGCCCTCGCGGTCTGGATTCCAGGGCGCGATCCCGTGGACACGCGGTCGCACGGACGGATGCGCCCCGCGCGGGGCACCCGCGAAAAGACATCCACGGCGTCGCGGCCCAGGGGCCCCACCCTGCGAGGCCGTGGGTGCGGATACGTTTTCCGCCCACGAGCCTGCGCACGCGCAGCTCGTCCCACGCGAACTGGCCGCACTGCCGCAGGGCCCACGCCTGCGCCCCCAGCCGCAGCCACTCCTCCTCCGCGTCGTCGACAGGGCCGACCGCATAGTCGACGAGGGTGAGCACCCGGCTCCTGCCGTGCAGCCTCGGGGTCTGCGAGGGGGAGCGCTGTGACACAAAGAGCATCATAAAGAGAGCTGTGCACACACACACACACAGACCCACACACAGCGAGCCTGGCCAGGCCAACCCCTGGGGGCAGGATCGGCACACACGCCCTCCTGGATTGGCCAGGGAGGCGTCTGCACGGCTCCTGGGCCACAATCTGGGCCTGAGCAGGGCCAGAGCATCCGTATGGTTTTCTCTGCGCGCGACGGGCGGGGGGGGGAGATGCCCTCCTCCTCCTCCTCCTCCTCCTCCGCCTCCTCCTCCTCCTCCTCCTCCGCCTCCGCCTCCTCCTCCTCCTCCTCCTCCTCCTCCTCCTCCTCCCGAAAAGGGCGACAAAGAGCACCCGTTACGCCCAGGGTCGACGGGAGAAGGCGGGCAGGGGAGGGGGGAGCAGCAGGGTGAGCACCGCTGGAGAGGCATCGATGCTTTCGCTCCTGTGGGCGCTGGCTGCCAGCGTCTGTATGGCCCGGTAGCGACAACAGGGGCTCAGATCGAACCTCTGAGAAGACGACGGGGGAGTGCGACGACGATGGCGACGACCCCGACGGCAGCGTCGACGACGAGAGGATACGAAGACGACGGCGACACGAATACCGACGACGCCGATGAAGGTGAACATGATGATGAAGACGTCGACGTCGACGACGACGACGACGACGACGACGACGACGACGACGACGACGACGACGACGACGGAGACCGAGGCGACGACAAGGAAACCGAGGTGGCCAAGGACGAGGATGACGAGGACGACGGCTTAGATCGCCAGACGAGAAGAGCGGCGCCGCCGACAGGGCCACACGGCGGGGGTGCTGGTGCCCCTCGGGCGCCCCAACTGGAAAAAAAACACGGTGCCGACGACCTCTGGGCAGGTAAAGGGCCTCCCGAATGGGGCCCGAGCAGCTGGGGGGCCAGAGGACCGCACCGCATTGCCAATGCATCGGCGATGCATCGGCATCGTCAGGGATACAGTCGGACCTAGGCCAGAAACACATCCCGCAAGAACATGAGACCCGCCGTCGGCAAAAACAAACAGCGCATCCAAGGGTACCCTCCCTATGTATAAGAGAGCGTGATCCAGCCCCGCGTTACTTTGGAAAATTCCCCCCCTCTTCCTCCGGAACCCGGGTGTCCCCCCCCGTCCCTCCGAAAATCCCCCCTCCCCCCTGCTGGACCCCCCCCCTTCCCCCCGGCAAAACCCCCCCTTCCCCTACCCCCCACCCCCCCACCCCCTCCCGAAAACAGAGGAAGTCACTACCGGTTCGAACCCCCCCCCACCTAGAAAACCAGAGGGGGGGTCACTACCAGTTCGAACCCCTCCCCCCCCCCCCCCCTCGAAAACTGGGGGAGGGTCACTACGGGTTCGAACCCCCCCCCCATCGAAAACCGGGGGGAGTCACTACCGGCTCGAGACCCCCCTCCCCTCGAAAACCTGGGGAGGTCACTACCGGTTCGAACCCCCCCCCAAACCCCCCCCCTCCCTCGAAAACCGGGAGGGGTCACTACCCGCTCGAGACCTCCCCCCCCCTCGAAAACCGGGGGGAGTCACTACCGGCTCGAACCGCCCCCCCCCCCGTCGCAAACCGGAGGGGGGTCACTCCCAGTTCGAACCCCTCCCCCGCCCCCCACGCTCACCGCCAGCAAACGACTCCCGGGTCCCTACCACCGTCCGCACCACATCCCCCACTGCTGTCCCCAGCACCACTGTCCGCACCGCCACTGTCCCCACTGTTCCCACCTCCGTCCCCACTGTCCCCACCAGTGCCCCCACCACTGTCGCACTGTCCCCACTGTCCCTACCACTGTTCCCACCATGGTTCCACTCTCCCCACTTTCTCCACGGCCCCAACCACTGTCCCACTGTCCCACTGTCCCCGCCGCTGTCCCACTGAGCTGTCCCACTGTTCCCACCACTGTCCTCGCTGTCCCCACCACTGTCCCCACTGCACCTCTGTCCCGTTATCTCACCGCCGTCCTCGCCACCGCCCTCACCACTGTCCCCACCACCACTGTACCCTCCACTGTCCCACTGTTTCCACCACATTCCCAATGTCCCACACCACTGTCCCCACCACCACCGTCCCCACCACTGTCCCGCTGTCCCCACCACTGTCCCGCTGTCCCCTCACCACTGTCCCCACCACCACCGTCCCCACCACTGTCCGCACCACTGTCTCACTGTCCCCGCGCCACTGTCCCCACCACCACTGTTCCCACCACTGTCCCAGCATCCCCACCATTGTCCAACTGTCCCGAGGAGCGGGAATCGTTTGCTGGCGGCGAGGGGAGGGGGGGGGGTTCGAACCGGTAGTAACCCCCCCAGTTTGCGAGGGGTGGGGGGGGGGGGGGTTCAAACCGGTAGTGACCCCCCCCCCCCCGGTTTTCGAGAAGGGGGGGGGAGGTCGAACCGGTAGTGACCCCCCGCCTTTTCATGATGGACTGGGGGGGGGAGGGGTCCGAACCAGCCCCCCCCCTGCTTTCGAGGGGGGGGAGGGGTTGGGAGCACCCAATGACCCTCCCCGGTTTTCCGCCAGCGGCGGTAGAACACGCTCTTTCGTGTATAAGAACATCCAGTAATCACCGAGAACACCAGGGTACCCTCCCCGAACCGGCCTCAATCTTGTACCTCGGTCCGACTGTACAACTCCGCCGTAGGCGAGGAGATCGGGCTCCGCATCGAGCCGCATCGCCGACGAGTCAGCGATGTGGCACGACTCTCTGACCCTCTTCCACTCGGACCCAAGCTGAGAGAGGCCTGAAGGCAGGTGCGCCGAAGCCGACGACCTCCCCCTGGTGGATCGGGCCAACACGGATTAGGGATCTGGGGATCTAGCGCGTGGCCTCCGGATCCACGGATCGGGGAAGGCACCGCCTGAGACATGGCGCCAGTGCCGCCTGATTTGGCGACGGAGCGCGCCGATTTCGTATATGGAGCCAAGACCCGTCGCTGACCAACGCGCCAGAATCCGTGCACCCTGATCCATCAAGGGGCGCCGAGGCCGTTTGGGCTCCCTTCCCGTGGAGGTAAGGAACGCATGCCCTGGCCCCGATCCCCCGGATCCGATGTCTTGACTTGCTCCAGACGCGGCCCCCGATGGTAGGGCCGGCTTTTCCTCCAGAGCCGGTTTTGACGGCCCCAGGGCCCGGCGAGGGCCCCTCGGAGGCCGAAGCAGCGAACAAAACGCCGCCCTGCTTGTTCCAGTGCGTTGGCGGTCTGGCATTGCGGCCGGTCTGCTGCGAGGAGCGCGCGACGCGCGGCCAGGTGCAGCCTCATGTCTACCCTGTCGATGCTCGCGAGGCACCGCGCCGTCGGCCACGATGCGTCGCCGGGCACCGCGACCTGTGTGTGCGAGGAGGGAGGCGGCGGGAGGAGGAGCTGCAGGGAGGGGGGGGGAGGGAGGAGGGGGGGAGAGGAAGAACGGGGGGAAAGGGCTTGAGGGGGGTTGAAGAGGAAGAGGGGGAGGTGAGGAGAAGGAGGAGAAGGAGGAGGAGGAGAAGGAGGAGAGGAGGGAGGAGATGAGGGAGGATATGAGGGAGGAGGAAGAGGAGGCGGAAAGGCGAGGGGGTAGGTAACATAGGTAATGAGGAAGAGTAGTAGAAGAGAAGGAGGAGGAGGAGGAGGAGGAGGAGGAGGAGGAGGAGGAGAAGAGTGGAGCAGGACGGGTCGGGAGAATAAAGGAAGAGGCAGGAATCCCACCAGTTCTCTGGGCGCAATTGGTCGAAAGCGTTTCCTCTTCCACTCCCCTCTTTCCCTTCGAGGGATTTATCACTGTTCCCTATTAACGTGCACCCCCTCACCGAACCGACCGGCGACAAACGCGGAACCATGTCAACACCCCCCTGCCACCCCTTTCAAAAAGCAATGCAAAATGCACTTTGCACCAAAATCTGGATCATGCGCGGACGCCCCGCAATCACTTTGCATTGGTTTTCGACAAGGACGTCGGGGTGCCCGCATAATGCCTGCTGTGTACAATGCCACCCCCCCCCCCGACACCCCTTGCAAAAAGCAATGCTAAATGCACTTTGCACCACAATCTGGGTCATGCGCTGACGCCCCGCATTCACTTCGCATGGTTGTTTTCAGGGACGGCGGGGGTGTCGGCATATTGCCTGAGATGTGCAGTGCCTGACCCACCCCAACCATGCAACCATCCCTTGAACAGCAACAGCCCGAGTGCACCTTGCACCAAAGCCTGAGTCGTGCGATGGGCGCTCCGCGAGCATTCTGCATTAGTTTTGGGCAGGGGCGGCGGGGGGCCGGCACGGTGCCTGCTGTGTGCGGGCCCACCGCTCAGCTCAACAAAAACTGCGCTTCACTTTGCCAGGGACGGAGGGGGGGCGGCATACTGGCTGCTGTGCGCATGCTTGCCATCCTCGTCAGAAACAAGCAGGTGCAGAGTGATTGCGGGTACACGCCCACACACACAGTGCACAATGCTCGCCCGCATATGACTTTTTGTGGCCCCAGAGGGGCCCAAGACGGGCCAAGAGGGCCTCAAGAGGCCCTCAAGACTGCCCAAGCTCCGAGTCGCGGAAAGATCGCCTCCATACACCTAATATCCGACGCTCCAAGACGTTCCACGAGGCCCCCAGGACCGCCACAAGACGACCGCAGAGGCCCCCCAAGAGGGCACTAAGACGGTCCAAGAGGCGCCCAAGACGGCCCAAGAGGGCCCCAAGACGGCCCAAGATGGGCCCAAGAGGGGGAACACGAATCGACAATCTGAGCCTTCCGCCCCAAGAGGCGCCAAGGAGGCGCCAAGAGGCCCCCAAGAAGCCCCAAGAGGCCCCCCCGAGGCCCCTACGAGGCCCACAAGAGGCCCCCAAGAGTTCAAAGTAGCTCCCCAGAGCCCCCAAAACGCCTCCAAGATGCCCCAAGACTGCTTCATGGAGGCCCCCGCGAAGGCCAATATTTGTGTATATATATACACACACAAGACTGCGTTGGCGCTTCGCGCCACGCACCCTCGTCCTTCAAGCTTCGCATACGTTGGCACTTGGCGTCGTCATCGTAGGCCTTTGAAATTTGGCCGTTTCCTTTCAAGTCACCTTACGCGTTCTTGATTGCTCTCGCCCTCGATTTACATCTCGTGCACCACCAAAATTTCTCTCGGGGGGAGTTTTGATTCGAATTTCGAGGCCGGCCCGATGACGTGGCGACGAGACCGCCACCTGGAGGCTCCGAAACAACATTGAACCCAAATCGCGCGCCTTCTTCGTTGGATCCTACGCTGGCAGGTGTCGTAACGGCTTGCGCGTCGATTTTTGACACCGTTTAGATCGTTCAGCCGTGAACGATCGCGCATTCACCACCAGCCGATTCCTGACCACTGGCCGCGTTCATTCCGAGCGCCCGCGCCGGGGTCCTTCGCGTGGCCACCACACGGGCTCGCTCGTGGTGAAAGTTGCCCGGTCGCGCAACGCAAGGCAATGGAAAACAACGCCTTATCGTTCCACATCGTTCCTTTCATTCATCCTCGCTCTCGCCTGTCGCTACGAATTATCCCCCGTCTGCCGCAGGTTTTTGTTGCAGAGGCTCCCTTTTGGAGATCCTCTTGGGGGCGGGGCCTTCCGGGCGCCTCTCCGGGACGTCTTGTGGGTCCTTTTGAAACCCGTTTGGGCCGTGTTGGGTCCATCTTGGGCCGTGCTGTGGCCTTCTTGAAAATTTGGGCTCTCTACGGGCCTTCTTGGGGCCATCTTGGGCCCTCCTGGGGACCTCCTATGGCCCTCATGGGTCTCTCTTGGGAGCCTTTGGGGGCCTCGTGTCTTGGGGCGATCTCGGAGGCCTCTTCGGCCGTCGTGAACGCTGGTACGATACAAGAAGCGAATATGCTGAACATGCACGTTTTCCCAAGGGGATGGGAAAACGTTTGCCTCTTGGGGGCCGTCCTGAAGGCTTCTTGAGGGCCTCTTGGGGGCCTCTTGGGCCGTATTGGGGGCCTCGTGGGCCGTCTTGATGCCATCTTGCGCTGTCTTGGGGCTCTCCTGCGCCTCTTCGACCACTTCTCTGATCGCTGTGGGTCTGCTGGGCAAGGCCTGGCAAGGCGTCCTGGGAGGTGCGGCAAGGCTGGAGGACCTCTTCGAAAGACGTCCAGGGGGCCCACAGCGCCAGATACCGGGGATCCGGTTTTTTGGGAGGGGTTGGGTGAGGGTTTCTCCCGCCCCCCCGGCTTGAAAAAATTACACCAGAGAAAGCCCCAATCAGTTGGTTTCTGTTTTTGTTCGCAAGTGCCTCGATCGGGCTTCCTCCCGCCCTGGTCGAGTTCGAATATACGATATACGCTGTAGTCCAGTCGAAATATCATGTGTTCTCATCTCTCTCTCTCTCTCTCTCTTTCTCTGTTTCTCTCTCTCGCTCTCTCTCTCTCTCTCTTTCTCTCCCTCTCTCTCTCTCTCTCCCTCACGTCGTGTCCCGTGGCGCGGGGGTGTCCCGTGCTATGCTATATGCTATGCTGCATTATGCTAGTGATTGTGAGGTCGATCGTGAGATCGCTAGTGATATCGATAATCTGATTGAACTGGGAAGTGAGATCACTCGTGAGATCGATACTGATCGATGGTGAGATTGGCAGTGAGGTCAATTCAGTGAGTTCGATGTTGAGATTTATTGTGATATCGATAGCAACATTAATAGTGAGATCGACCGTGTGATAGTGCATTCCATTGTTCTATTGATAGGGTGCTCGATCGTGACATTGATAGTGATGCCGATGGAGCGACATGGGTAGTGAAGTCGATAGTGAGATCGACTCTGATGACGATACGGAGATCTATAGTGATATCGACGGTGAAATCGATTGGGTGACATGGACAGTGAGATCTATAGTGAGATCGATCGTGAGATCGCTAGTGAGATCGATAGTGAAATCGACAGTGAGATCGAACCTCGGTAGTGCGATCGATGGTGCAATCGATCGTGAGATCGATAATGGCATCGACTGTGAGATCGATAGTGCCGTCGATAGTGGCATCGATAGTGAGACCGATAGTGAGAGCGATCGTGAGATCGATCGTGAGATCGATGGTAAGATCGAGAGTAAGATCGACTGTGAGATCGACTGGGAGATCCAATAGTGATATCGATCGTGAGAGCGATGGAGTGACATGGATGGCGCAATCGCTAGTGAGCTCGATAGTGAGATCGATTGAATGACATGGGTGGTGAGATCGACAGTGAGATCGACCGGGAACCCGGGAATCTGGGAACCAGAAACTTGAACCCTGGGAATCCACAGAAATCGGTCCGGAGCCAACAACCGCGAACTTTGGAACTGGGAGCCCAGGAAGCCACGGTTTCCCGCCCACCGAAATCAGCCAGGACCTTTCGCCAAATCTTTCAATTTCCGCTAAGACCCCTTCAGAGCAAGCGCTGATTGGGGAATTTGGACAGAGATATATATCCCTATATATGCAGATGTATATACACATGTACGTGTCTACATATGTAGATGTATACGCGAATCTGTATATGTATATAGTAGTAAACATACATGTGCATACACATTCACTTATATGTACAGATATGCAGATCCTCTTGTGTGAAAGATGTACGAGCGCGGGCGAAGAGAGGGAGAGAGAGAGAGAGAGGAGAGAGAGAGAGAGAGAGAGAGAGAGAGAGAGCGAAAGAAACAAAGACAGCGAGAGCGAGAGAAAGAGAGTGGGAGACAGGGGAGAGGCGTATTTGCATGTGCGCGTATATGTATGTGCGCCCAGGGCCAAAATGCTTCGGTACACCCCTCAAGCGTTCCGCGGCCCCTGATGGGGGCTGCACCGAATGCCCCAGTGGCGGTGTTCGCACGCGCTCCCCCCACCGATTTCGGCACACCCCTCACATGTTTCGTGGCACCATGGGAGCTCCACCGAAAGCCCCTAAGGCAGTGTTCGCATGCTTTCCCCGCACCGATTTCGGCATACCCCTCGAGCGCTTCGTGGCACCATAGGACCTCCACCAAAGGCCCAAGTGGTGGCAGTGCTCGCATGCTTTCCCCGCACCGATTTCGGCAGACCTCTCATACGCTTCGTGGCCCCAAACAGGGGCCCCACCGAGGGCACAAGTGGCAGTGCTCGCATGCGCCCCCCGCGCCCATTGCATACGCTTCGTGGCCGCATGGGCATTTCCACCGAAGGCCCCAATGGCAGTGCTCGCATGCGCCCCCCGAAACCTATTGGGGCACGCCCATCACACGTTTCGTTGTCCCATGGGCACCTCCACCGAAGGCCCCAGTAGCAGTCTTCGCATGGGTCCACCGCGCACACCCCTCACACGCTTCGTGGCCCCATAGGCACCTCCACCGAAGGCCCACATGGCGGCACTGCTCGCATGGGTCCCCCGCGCCC